GGGGGGGCAAACTGAAAATAATTACCTAAACACTAATTTTAAACATATCAGCCACATACGAGCTGCCTCTTCCGAGTACCATTTCCGCTTCTACCCTTAAAAAAAGCTCTGCCCCTAAAAGAGTGGTGGGGGTGAGTGCCGAGCTGACCAGGCAGGAGCAATGAACAGACGGAGGAGGCTCCTGGAGGTTTCACATGTGGAGTCGGACAGTGAATTCAGCAGTCAGCTCAGATCTGTCAAGTAAGGGTGAGGGCGGGTAAGATGCTTAACCAGTAAAATACACCAGAATGCAGGAAATCACATCTACTTTATTCATAATTTTTTGGGGGAGAATCCCCAGACCCCCACACCTAGCCCCCAGATTTTTCAACCCAGTTTACTTGCGAGGGCAGAGTTCACATACAGGCTTTCACAAAGGTTACAGCTGTCAGTGAGACTCTGCACCTGACAGTAAGGCACTGAAGTGCTTTATAATTCATGCTTTGATGCTTATCAGACAGAGCTTTCCAGCTTACAGACTCGGAGAAGGCCTTGGAGTTGATCAGGTGCGCCTGCAGGCTCCTCTCTGAGCAGACAAAAGACTCTCTGACCTCACACACATGGTTCAACATTAATTTAACATTAGTGATAAACATCCATAACCTTTATCTAAATTAATTCCTCTGACAATAACCTCAAAGAGAATCAGTGGAGATGTTTACCCAGAATGCACTGCAAGTGCAAACACCTGAGGAGCTTATAACAGGACAATGTTTTAGAAGCCAGCAGCTGATCTAGAACAGAACAGCTCAGAAAGAAAAGAACCAAGGTGCTGCGATGGTCCAGTCAGAGTCCAGAACCTCAACCTGACTGAGGCACTGCGGTGGACCTCATGGAGTCTCTCCAAGTCTCCTAAAGCTTTAAGAAGAGGAGACCAAGGAGGAATGTGAGCTCACTGACTCTGACATGGACTGAGTTTGAGCCATTTCTCTGTTGAATAATGTCATTTGGCTGTGGCAGCCATTTTGGAACAGGCTGAGGCACATCCAGTCCAGCGGTTCATGAGATATTTTGCTAACGCAGACACACAAACACATGTTAATTGAAAAATGCAGAAATTGCTTTAATAGTCAACTTGTTGAAATGTAAAAACACAAACATTTGAGCAGGTGGAGCCATAATTAAAGTCTTGTTTCTGTTAGAAATGTTGAGAAGAGATCAGTAGTGGTGCAGGAAGTCTCCTGGTGTTGCTCGGTGTGTGTTTGTTGGGATCGGCGGTACCTTCTGAGGCGTTTGCAGATCTTCCTGCAGCTCTAGAGGATAAGTGATGTTGAGCCGGCCCAGAGGGACTCTCACCTCCCCCAACACAGCGTGTCTGGAGAACTTATCAAAGTCCCTCACCTGAGATGACAGAACAAGACACGTCTGTAAGTTAAACTGTTCTCACGTGTTCAGTGTAACTCTCCTGTACTGCTCACTGGTTTTAATCCTGCAACGTGACAGTACAGAAGATATTCTGGATCATTGTAGCCTTTTTTTTTCCACTTTAATTTTTATTAACATTTTCAATAGTAAATAACCCAACAATTTTCAGTCAGGTCATCTGGACATGATTTTTTTTTTTTTGTGCTGAAACATTTCATCTTCCATCCAGAAGGCTTCATCAGTCAAGGAAACACACTACACAAAACTGATTTTTCCCCCAACAGCTTACTCCAAAGTGGAACAAAGCAGTTGTGTTGGTGCTAAGACGGTCTCTTTGGCACGTCCCCTCCTCCGCAGCCGGCCCTCTCCCTCGTCGACAGTCGAGCCAAAATGGTTCAAAACCAACAAACACTGTCGATGAGGGAGAGGGCCGGCTCCGGAGGAGGGGGCGTGCCAAAGAGACCATCTTAGCACCAACACAACTGCTTTGTTTCACTTTGGAGTAAGCTGTTGGGGGAAGAATCAGTTTTGTGTTGTGTTTCCTTGACTGATGAAGCCTTCTGGATGGAAGGTGAAACGTTTCAGCACAAAAAAAAAAAGAAACTGTGCATATGACCTGACTGAAAATTGTTGGATTGTGTACCTGGATTATTGAGCACGGACTTTGTTAATAGTAAATAACATTTCAAGGATATATCCATACTGACAGCTTCAGACATGGCTGCATATTTAGCTTTTTTTTTTTACATGCAATTAACAGTAGCGGTATCTTAATCAATTACATATATTTATTTAAAACACATTTTTTTATGTTTCCAGGATACATTGTCTTACAATCTTTTGATACTGGGTATCCCAAAATAGTTTCAATTATAGTATTCACGTTTCGCTGATACAAATCTAATTTTGGACACTCCCAGAATATGTGTGTATGGTTTGCGTCTATACAGTATGTGGTTGATGTTGGTGTGTCCTCCCTCAGAGTTTTATATAATGATGTTATTTCCTTGAACTGAGGATCACTGTAGCCTTAAAGGGGTTTGTTTGTGCAGGTGCATTGTTTCTGTAGGACTTTGAAGGTATATAAAGTGAACTTTGTGTTGGTTTAGTGCAGGACCTCCATCCTGAGGTGGAGGCAGTGAAGCAGGTCTTCCTGCAGACTGCAGCTGAACTGGTCTCCAAATACAGGCCTGCAGCTTCCTTTCACGATGCGAGTGCGCCACTCGTGCAGCACCGTCCACAGCACAGGCGGCGCCACGTCACCCTGAGGGGATCACAGCATGAGCCCCAAACATCGTTACCACAGAGGAGCTGGAACTACTGACAAATGAAGAGAGATTCACTGCATCACCTCCTGCTCCCCCAGGCCCTCCAACGCTGTCCCCTCTGATCCGGCCCACATCAGGCGTAGCTTGACAAACAGCTGGAGGCTGACAGCCTGGCTGGAGTCCAGAAGCTCCTCCACCTGCAGCACGGTGACCACCAGCCGAGACTGCAGCTGGTCATAGTAGACGGCGAAACGCAGCGAGCCAGAAACCTGACAAAACAAACCAGTCAGAACAATTTGTGCCGTTAGCGAATAAAATCTGAGAAGTGACGTCCAATCAGCTCCATCCTCGCTCTGTGTCAGTTTTACAGGTGTAAAAACATTCAGCTGTTTGTGAATAATCTTTTTCTCTGTGGCAGAGCAACAGAGATGTCTCTGACATCATTGCTGATCTCTATCCGCCTTGGCGTTGTGTTAGCACATCTGGATGCTCCAGAGAAGCAAACTAACCGAATTTCATCCTTTCTAGAGGTGGCCCCACTGATGACGATCAATTCAAATGAATTCAGATTTATTTTTAAAAATGTTTAAAAACAACCGGAGTGCAAATGCATCAAATGCCAGATCTCCTTGATTCTTTAATCTGCTTTAGTCCAGGTGCGTCGGCTCACCAGACCTCAGTGACTTAGAGTTTAAAGATCCGACAGGTAAGCAGAAGTCGACCCATTCGGTGATTTAAAAACAGATAAAATCTTTATTTGAGTTCTAAAACAAACTAAATGGATCAGTTAAACCAGACTGATAATTTCCCTCCAGATTCAAGGAGAAGCTGTACGAGTCCCCCACACCCTGATGACAGAACTCCTCTTGTCTCTAAGGCTGAAACCGGCTGCCCTGCGAAGGAAGCCAATTTCAACTGACTGGATCCAGGATGTTTTGGCTACAATCCGCACCTTATAGAACCATGCTGTTAACAGGACCATGCTGCTAACAGGACCACACTGCTAACAGAACCACACTCATAACAGGACCATGTTGCTAACAGGACCACACTGCTAACAGAACCACACTCATAACAGGACTATGCTGCTAACAGGACCACGGAGTTAACAGGGCCACACTGCTAACAGGACCATACTGCTAACAGGACTATGGAGTTAACAGGACCACACTGCTGACCGTGGAGTTAACAGGACCACACTGCTAACGGGACCACGCTGCTAACGGGACCACGCTGCTAACGGGACCACGCTGCTAACAGGACCACACTACTAACAGGACCACACTGCTAACAGGACCACACTGCTAACGGGACCACGCTGCTAACAGGACCACACTGCTAACAGGACCACACTACTAACAGGACCACACTGCTAACGGGACCACACTGCTAACGGGACCACGCTGCTAACAGGACCTTGATCTGTCCTTCCTGCCATAACTTCTCAGATACTTGAACTCGAAGTAAAGACTTGGCCCCACACTCCCACTTTAACCACCAGATAATAAACATGTAAACTACCTCACTGATGCTAAACCTTTCAACTTTTTAAAGGAGGAGCTTAGAGGTTGTATCGGGATGAATGTTTCACTGTAAAGAATAAAACAAAAATTGGAGCCGTACCAAATTACAGGAGTTTTCAGCATCTGTTACCTTTTTATTGGTTTGGTCCTCTCTCGTGTCTCTGTCTGCGGGAGGAAACGAGGCCTGTGACAAACAGCGACTGAGTCTGTGAGCTTCAGCGCCGACGTCCTCCACCTGCAGAGTCCACACGAGTCTGCTTTAAACTCTGACGGCACCTGGATGTGTCATCGGACTCACAACTCTTTGGCGCTCATCGTTCTTTATAGAAGAAAACCTGCAGGTTCTGAATAAATCAAACACTGAAATTCATGGACAAATGAGAGGTTTTAGAAATGAGTGAAACTAAATATTTCTAACAAACTTTTTAATTTTTTTCCTTTTCAGTTTGTGAAATTCTACCAGCCGCTTTAAATTCAGCACTTCCCTGACACGTCGGTCACAAGTCGTGAAGAAAAACTCTCTGTTCAAATAATCCCATGAACACAAACAACACACCCTCCATGAGGTTCTGACACGACTTCTGCTCCAGAAATAAAAGCAGAGCTGCTGGAAGGAACCAGCAACACCAACTTCAAGTCTCCCTGACGAGTGTCTTTTTTTATTCCTAATTTACAGGTTTATTACTTATTATAAACATAAAGTCTGATCATAAATTTGCTGAACAAAACTTTATTGTTTTTGCCTTAAAAAGCTAATTTTTCACATGTGCAGTTCATAAAATCAGTGTAACTTTATAATAAACACAAAGAAATGATCTGCAGATCCTGCTTTAGCTCCAGTTCAGTGTATTTAAATTATTATAGACAAAATGTCCAAATTAAAAGGATTAAAATAATTTAACCCAAAATGTGGGTCTTATGACAGAAAATGAAACTTATCTGTCATCGTCACTCGTCCAAATTTAAATTTGATTGTCCAAGTGTGTCCATCTCACCGTGGTGCTCAGAGAAGCCGAGCATCTTCTGGCTGTTGGTGGTTCCTCCTCTGAGTACAGCAGTTCTCTGTTACCTGCAGCAGACAGAGTTAGGTTCTGCAGCCGACCCGCGTCAGCACATTCTGCTCAGCTCACCTGGATCCTGCTGCTGGTACGTCGGCGCCTGCGAGAAACATCTGAAGATCTGCCAGGCCAAGATGGCCAGCGACAGCAGGAGCAGGAGGACAGAAATTCCCAGAATGCAATACTTCACTGCGTCTGAGAAGGGCATCCTCAGCACGCCGGCAGCTGAAAGCGAGCAGCCAGGACACGGATCTCCTCCAGAAGTCACCATGAAGCTCTGCCCCTGGGTCGGCGCCGCATCTTCTGCAGGAAGGACAGGACATTCAGGGTCAGCTAAAGGTCACTGGAGGAATAATTCTTATTTTTATGGAATAAGTTTTGGATCAGCAGGAGTCAAACGTGATACTCCGAGCTAAAATACAGAAAAATTCACTTCAGCAACCCAGAGCAACATTATTCAGCTCCTGCAGCTGACGTCTGACCAGAACAACCGTGACTTGTGGCGTGTTTGGAGCAGGGGTCTGCAAGCTGCGGCTCTGGGGCCACATGTGGCTCTTTGGTCCCTCTGCAGCGGTCCTTTGTGGCTTTGAGCAAAACGTGAATCATGTTTGCATCCATAACTAAATAATAAATAATAAACAACAATAAAGAAGAGCTGCAGTTTTATTGTCCATTTTCTGTGAATAAAACTTTAGACAGATTGAAATGCAAGTTAAAAGAAGCAAAACATCTTATTAGCCGCTTCATGTTCACAGCAAAACATAAAGTTTTTATTTAAACATTTAAGCAAAGATTTGTTTGACGGAGAACACGGACAGATTTTAGGATTCATAAGGCGTTCTATGAAACAAACAGCAAGTCGTTCTGTTTACGACAAACATCAGCAGTAAAGATTTTCTTTGGATATTTTATTACAACAAACTGAATTACTTTGTTATGATAAAAAGCTTCAGTAAGTCACAAATGAATATCCAACAAACTGGTCTACTTATGATGCCCAGTCTAATAAACTGGTCTAATTAATGCATTTATTTTATATTAACATGCCAAGTTATTATTTTTCATGCTTTTTAATGTTTTTTAAATCATCCAACTTATTTGTTGTGTTCAAACTTGTAAGAATTTTTCACAAATACAGAAAGGCCTTACAGGGTTTGTATTATATAAATATGTTTTTTGCTCCATCCTCATATGAGTTTTTTTTTTTTTTTTGGTGCTAAGATATAAAAATGCTGATAAATATCTATAATTTATAACAGCATTCAGTGAAGCACATGTCGTCATCTTTTAGGCCAGACATCACAAAATAACATCGTGTGTGTCATGTGACCTGTTAGCACTCAGAGCATGTGTTGTGAATGACTCGCAGCTACTACCACAACAAATTACAGCTCCACATCTGTCAAATTCTATAATCATATTGCGTAGGCTAAGGTTAGTCGGCTGTGGTAGCCAGCATGAATTGAGCTGACTTTAAAAGTTAACTAGACAAACGTTTGATTATTATTCTCTGAGAGTTTCAATAAAATCCGTCCACTGCTTCATGAGATATTTTGCTAACAGTACAAAAGAACACACACACAGATAAGGGCAGCAACATCACTCTGCAGCAATAACAAATAATCTGTGGCTCTGAACACGTTTTATTCAGTGAAATTAAAATGTAGAAATGTCTCTTTTAATGCTAAAGTTTTCAGATCTCTGATTTAATGAACATAACATAATCAACTTTCTATAACAAATGCATAAAATAACATTTGTGTAGTTATCACAAGCAAAAATATGTTTTTAAAACAGTTGAAACAGTTTCTAGCAGCAGGCTGGTGAGTTCTTTGGTTCTGTAATTCTCTTGTTTTTGACCCAACGGGAAAAGTGTAAGAACTCAAACAATCTTTCAACTTCTTGTGTTTTATTTGCAAGCAACATAATAAATGTAGTAAATTGTTTCTCCAGCAGAAAAAAAAAAGCTTAAGCATGTTCCTCGGGTGTGAAAAGTGAGCGTAGCTCCAAACTCTTGGTTGTAAAGAGCTTGTCTCCTGTCAGATACGTGCCTTAATCAAATAACAGCTGGCCGGCTCACTCATTATGCAAATTTCAAGAAATGTAGGAAAAACCTACAAGTTAGTTTCCTTTCACTTTTGCTTTGTTGGACAGAACTCGAATTAACTTCAAATGTTTCCTAAAATGAGGCTTCAATAAAAATAAACCCGTCACCGGTGTCAGTGTTTCCATTTGTAATAACTGAAGATAAATGAATATTTACCTGCAGAAGGTTAAGGCCTCGGCTCGTCTGTTCCTGTGGGGGAAAAACTTCCTCCTCCTCATGAAACCATCTCCTCGACCTTCACAGAACCAGAAGCCCGTCTCAGACAGAGGAACCCAAACCAGCTGTGCGTCGTTTATCTGTTCCTGCTGCTGAGCAAACGCTCCACACACTCCGTCTGTTCCCTCACATGCGCCACTCACCACTTCCTGCTCGTCTCTCAGGACAGACAGGTTTGAAATGATGTTTCAGGCAGCTTATCTTCATGCTCGGTGCTCCCCCTCCTCGAGAACCCTCGGCTGCTCTGAGGATGAGTGTTATAACACTCAGTCTTGCGTAAAAATCTTTATTTCTAAAGCTGTCCCATTGAAAAACACAAGTGATACTAAAAACTTGGTATTTGACGAGTTTAAAGAGAACTACAGCAAACTGGCAACGAGCACAAACAGTGAAAATTCATTCATTCAACCTTTGTTTATACAAGTTAGTCTCATTAACTTAACATATGTTTAACATCCCTTAGGGAGGTCAAAGTTGAAAGCTTCAGATCTTTCTACAAGGTGTTCAAAAGGCCCTTTTGCCATTCAGTCCGCACTGATAGGACACTGCAGGTAATAATGTCCTAAAAGTGCACGCTGTAGCAGCATTGACAACGTGACATGTAGGAGGAGATGTATGAAGGCAGCAGACCAATAAGTGATTTAAAGACGAAAATGTACTAATGTCAGAGTCTGCGTGAAATTAATGCTGACCAATTGACAAATGAATACAAAGTGCAGTGATGGTACGGTAGTTACAGTCAGTTATGACTCGTAGCGCATCATGATAGGCAGCGTCCAACATCTGCAGGGTGCTTGTAGGAGCCATCCATCCATCCATTATCTTTACCCGCTTATTCCATTTTGGGTCACGGGGGTCGCCGGTGCCCATGTCCAGCAATCACTGTGCGAGGGGCGGGGTACACCCTGGACGGGTCGCAAGTCCATCACAGGGCCACATAGAGACAAACGAGACAAACAACCATTCACTCTCTCATTCACACCTAGGGACAATTTAGAGTTACCAATCAGCCTAACATGCATGTTTTTGGTCTGTGGGAGGAAACCGGAGTACCCGGAGAAAACCCACGCATGCACGGAGAGAACATGCAAACTCCACCCAGAAGGCCCCTGGACCGGGGTTTGAACCAAGGACCTGCTCGCTGAGAGGCAGCAGCTCTACCAGTTGCGCCACCGTGCTGCCCCCAATTTAGTCCAAAAAGTATTAAATCAATATACTTCTAGTACACTACAAGCATGGTGTGAAGTATACTTGACATACTTATAGTTAACTTAAAGTATACTTGCAAAAATAAACTTCAAATGTACTACTTTTTGTTAAGGGGCACCAGTTTGAGACGGAACAAGTCTGACTGGATGATGTCGAATGCAGACTGTAAAAGCTGGAAAACCTTAGCAACTGTTCTAGATCGACAATAAACTGTCGTCAGCATAGAGATGTGAGAATGCATCAGGGATGATCTGACCTACATTACTTATGTAGATTGTGAAGAGGGTGGGGCCTAAGACTGAGCCTTGTGGAACACCATTACTGACAGTTAAATAGCTGGAAGAAGTACCATTATGTTGAACACATTGCCTTCGATCTGAACAGTACCGGTAATTAGAAAACCAACTGATAGAATGGTCTGAGAAACAAATGTCTGAGAGCTCATGACATGAGATGTCATGGTCTACAGGATCAAAGCTTTAGACGGGTCTAAGTAAAGTGCAGCACAGTAGTCCTTAGCATCCAGTGCTAAATATGACAGTAAGCAGTGTTTGTTATTTACAGCTGTCTGTGTTGTTATTTGGACTCATTCTGTGGTTGTTCAGTACTGATGGACGTTGGTGAGGAATGCACCTGATACCAGAACATGTGCCTCAACCTGGCCTCAACGATGAGGATAAAAGATCGTCTCAGCTCCATGAAAGAAAAAGAGTTTAAATAATAAAAGCTGTCATTCAAAGTATCAGGAAAGAATAAACTTCCTGTTTTTTTAACGCATGAAGATAAAATCAGAAGTTTAGAACTAGAAGTTGACCTCTTCAACTAGCTCCATACACACGTTTTATATGTTCCCAATAATTAAAGAACTTTTTTTAAGGGATAACTCGTCCAGTTTTAAAGTCTTACTTGTGAGAAGATATTAACAAAATAGATAATCCTTACCGGGTCTTAGAACAACAGAAATACAACCTCAGATAAACAACACCATGACATTTTACACAGAGTCATTATTTACTCTATAACCATAAACCAAAGTGCACACAGTAGCTTCCTTTAGAACCAGAACCCTCAGTGGTTCTGTTAGCAGTCACTCTCCTGGTTCTGGAGAAGTTCTGGTCCACTCTTCTTTCCATCACTGAGGGTTCTGCTCAGCTCTCTGAAGATCCACCATAATGTTTCAGTCAAGTTGAGGTTCTGGTCTCTGACTGATCCTTTCTGACCTATTCCTTTGTAAATCAGCTGTTGTGTTTGGGATCATGGTCCTGTTGGACCCAGTTTTGTTCAAGCTTCAGCTGTTGAACAGAAGGACTTACATCTGGTCTCCAGAGGAGTTCCTAATCCACACATAAACTGTCAGGAGCCCAAACTATCAGCCCTCCAACATCATGCTGACAGCTGGAGGAGCTATTTGCTGCACTGCATTGTGGGTAAACATCAGTCCTCTAATCTTGTTCTGGACTAGAAGTCTTGTGGTTCTTTCAGATGAACCTAAGTCAAGCTGCCATGTTGTTTTTAGAGAGAGAAGAGGCCATGACCTTTGACCTTGACCTGCTACCTGAACCCTGCAGAGTCTGAGAAGTAGTGCATTTCTTTGAGCACTGCACAGTCTGGCCTTCAGGGTGAATCTCCTGGGAAGATTTCAGCTGTCTGAAATGTTTTCCATGTGTGAATGATCTCTCTCTCTCTCTCTCTGTAGAAGGATGGACTCTATATATTTTGGAAAAGACCTTTGACCCTTCTCAGATTGATGGGCAGCAACAGTTGCTTCTCTAAGGGCGTTGCTGATGTCTTTCCACCTTGGCGTTGCGTTGACACTCCCCTCAGTTGATGTAGTTTTTTATAAACTGCATTACCACACTTACCTGTGTATTTAACACACCACCCTGCTCTTTGAAGTCCTACTTTGCCACTGATGACATTTTAAAAAACAACCATGAAATTAATGATCTTATTTTAATTGAATGAAAGGTAGAATAATGGTCTAACCTAGCATTCATTTGACCAGGTAACCAATTAAAATGTGTGTTTAATGTTTTTAATGTAGCAGTCAGGTCTTTATGTTACCTTTGTGTCAAAGGACTTTAGTCAGAGGTTATGGAGTTATGTATATATTATTTCTATCGTTCTTTCCCGTAAAACAAACAGCCAAGTTGTCTGTCCAAACACTCTCTTATCCTGCCTGTGGACTGTATTTGTGAAGGCCAAGAGTGAGACTACAGCTGGCTTCGAGGACACCCACTGAAACCTTGTCAAACTGATCGAGATATAAAAAGCGAGCGGGCAACACAGCATGTGCAGACCATTGTGACCGGACTTCCGGTGTTTACAATTAATGCATATTGATGTGAACTGTTACGATACCTGCACTTGCAAGTAAAACTGTGCTCAGATAAATTTTCACCTGACGTGTGTTCAAGTTCAAGTTCAAGAATCTTTATTATCCCCAAGGGGCATTTTGTTTCAGTCACACAAAACACCCATACTAGAGAAAACATTAAGACATTAAAATAACAATGCATGAAATCATCATTGTTCATTGAGAAGCCTGATCGCTACAAAGATGAATGAGCTTTTCAGTCTGTTCGTTCTACATCTGGGCTGCAGATTCCTGCATCCAGATAGAAGCAACCTGAACTCACCATGGAGTGGATGATCAGGATCTGCCAGAATCATTCTGGCCTTGTTCACTGACCTCACCTTGTGTAGGTCAGTGAGGTTCTGTAGGACTATCTATACCAGCGGTTTTGCTGCACACCCTGACAATCCCCAAGAGTTTGTTCCTGTTTTTGCATGGCAAACGTCCAAACCAACAGATGAAGGTAAAAGTTAAAGAGACTCAATAAAACATTCTCATAAAAGTCAAATCAACTTTAAAACCACAGAACTTCTGATACAAATACAGTCTCTGGTGGACCTTCTTACAAAGTGAGTTCACATGTGCATCAAAGGACCTAAACCACTTCACTGTTAATGACCACAGGAGCTGCAACTGAAGAGTCTTTTCTAAAATCAGTGACCATCTCCTTTGTCTTAGAAACATTTAACTTTAAAAAATGTGTGGTTCATTTGAGTAAACATCATTTAGAGCATTTTCCTCTAAACTCAATGGCCATAAATGGAGAAACTTAAAACAATAAGTTTTTACCTGTTGTGAGATGATTCTTGCAATTTTCCAGTTTTTTAATCTACTTAATGAAGAATAGTATGACAATTTTGTTCATAATACATGGGAAGGAGGGCTTATTATCCTTCCACTTACTACAGTGAATGTGGTACTTTGTTATAAGTACAACTATGTTTATGGCATAACAGAAAGCTGAGCTCAAGTTATCCATATAAAATAAAATGGCATCAGAAAAAGGAATGTTAAGTTTGAGATTAATCCAGTTTCTGATGTGTGTCTAAAAACTTCGAGTATTGACGTGAAAAAAACAAATGCTCGAGGAATTAATCTTCTGATTTACAAAAAGCACACACATCAACATCAAATTTAAATCTTCTTTGAAGAAATATGGCTGCAGAATATATCTTATTTATTATTTTTAAATTATTCTCTTCACTTCAGGAGATATAGGCCATTTGGCAAATGTAGAATGAGCAAAGTCGTTATGGTTTTATGCTTTATATGGGAGGTTTCTTGAAGAAATCTTTGTTATAATCATAGTAAATTATTTGTTGCATACATTCGTTGATAATCTTGTTATTGCATTTGAATTCAACTAAGTCACAGTCATTTAACTTTAATGTGGACATCGGTCACCTTTGAATATATAATTATATTTTTAATTAACCTAATCAAAGCTAAGGGGATTGTTTTACATACCTTCTTAAAATCATTATGACAACAGCTAAGGTTATATCCCCCCCAAAAAATATGAGAAATTTAAAAGCTCTACAGTATATCACAGTACAACCTAAAAGTAGTTTTTCCTACGTTGTAGTTCCTCTACTGTCCAGTAGGGGGCGGTAACTCATTTCCAAGCCTCATTTCCAGCCATTGCTAGCAGCAGCTGCAGCAGCATCAACTTCCATAGCAGATCATCATCATCATCATGGTCCAGTTAGTGGGCTCCCTCCGTAAAGAGCTGGCGGACTCCCTGTCCACCTGTAAGGTTCTGGTGGTGGGAGCAGGAGGGATCGGCTGCGAGCTCCTGAAGAACCTGGTCCTCAGCGGCTTTAAAAACATCGAAGTGGTTGGTTCAGTTTGTCTTACGAGCCGGTTAGCATGCTAGCTAAGCTAGGTCTTTGTGCGGCCTCGGGACATATTTTTGAGACCTGGTTTACAAAGATAAGAAAATAATGTATGGTGGTTACCAGTCTGCGTTTTTATGTGTACAGGCCCGGAGTTTGAACCCTATAAAAATGAACTGTGTTTTTGTGATTTAAATAAGAATATTTGGCGCCATTGTCACTGCTAGTTAGCTGGTTATTGTGGCTCATGACCGGTGGAATGGTTTATTTATAAAATGTAAAAAAAAAAAAAAAGCACGCAGGCTGTAGATTTTATTTCTGTATCAAGTGTTTCCCACTCAGTAGCTCAATAAAAATATGACTACAAATTACACACTGTTCTATATATTATGATGCTTCACACAGCAAGCTTTAAAATTAACTTTTACCATTACCCACAGAAACCACCATCAACAAGAAACTGCTCAAATTAATTAGAAGCTCCCACCACTTTGTAAAAATGTCTTCACGTAATCACTTTTTATTTTAAATAATTTCTCAGGTGTTTATAAAAGTAACCTTTTAGTGCTGAAGCAAATATTTTAGAATCACATACCAAAACCTCAAGAATCCCAAGAAAATATAAATTTTGAGAGTTACATATAGAAAAGAGGCTTATTTCTCCACACTTTTCTAATAAAAATCAAAGTGTATCATAGTAAAACGGAAAGAAATCTAATTTAAAATGTCGTAAATGCTAAATTTTAACAATAGGCGTGTTTTAATGAAGTTTTCTGTTCCTTTTTAAACAAATCAACTCGATCAGTATTCCATAAAACCTGAAGAAGAACCAGGAGTTAGTGTAATAAAGGTGCAAGCTCCATAAAGGAGATGAGAGGAGCCGCATGGACGGGTGACAGATATTCTTCCACGCTCTAGTTTGTAAACTTTTAAGTCAAAGCTCATGTGTTAACAGGTTAGTGTTTGCAGAAATTTGTTTTGCATGAAGAAAATGTTCAACCATGAGCAACACTTCTGCTTTACAGTCTGCTTCTAGAAGCAGCCACGTGGAGTTTCATGTGCACTTCAGCTCATGGTGGGGTTGAAACGCAGACTTTCTTTGTTAAAGAACTCATTCACCTGCTGCGCATCCTGGTCACTGAAAAGAGCTCAGCCCTTAACAGTTTCCTGTACCGGGACATGATGCAGTTATGCACGCCAAGCACTTCAATTAACGAAAGAAATGAGCTTGAAACAGATTAATTACCACTCTCTGTTTAAAGTCCGAGGGAGCGAAAGCAGGAGAAGTAAATAGGGGTGTGATTCATTCAAACTTTATGTATACAGGTTAGACTCATTGGACAAGGACTCATTTTCAAGAGAGACCTGTATGTTTCTAACCAGATTATATTGACCACTAAATATAAAAATTGTTATCCTGATGCATGCTCAATAATCCAGGTAGATAAATCTAACAAGGTTACGTCAGGTCCTCTGGATGGATTCTTCTTTGTTGAGAGAACACAGATAAAAATAGTTAGTTTCATTATCTTTTACACTTTAAACATGGCATGCCTACTATTTAACGATTTGTCCTCAACCGTGGGAAGAATAAATACATTCTGTGTGCTTTTTAGATTTTGTATTGAAAAACAAAAACGCTACAGCTGAAATATACGTTTTATTTTACTTCCATTCATTTGTACTGAGGATAAGGAGCTCTTGACTGTTGGTTTAAAGCTCTGCTGACCTTCAGTCTGGACAGTGAGTGTTTGTACTGAGCTGTAGTCACAACAAAGAGACTAAATGTTCGAGTTTTATGCTTCAACATTAGATTTTTTTTTTCTGGTGTGCTGTAGAGGCTACTGTTTATTCCAACATATTTGAGATGGTTTTTTTTTTTCATTTTGCAGCTTTAGCTTGGTGCAAAGTTTTTGCAGAAGTCAGTATAAATAACTGTTAGTTCTTATTAGGTTTCTGTTGAAGTTGTCAATGAATTGTGGCTGCGTTACATAAATGTGGAACATCTGAACAAATCTAGAGATACTGACCATTAACAACAAATATTTTAGCAGGTTAATTAGCGTTAGCTGTTAAACTGCATGTGGTGGTGATTTGAAGTCCTTTTGGTTCCTGCAGATTGACTTGGACACGATCGATGTGAGCAACCTGAACCGTCAGTTCCTCTTTCAGAAGAAACATGTTGGCAAATCCAAAGCACAGGTAACTTTTAGTTTAAACTCGCATCATGTTTATGGCGACGTATAAAGTTTATTAATGTGTGTACGTTTGGTCCTGGTGTTTTCAGGTGGCCAAGGAGAGCTCCCTGCAGTTCTGCCCCAGTGCAAACATCACAGCCTACCACGACAGCATCATGAAGTGAGTTTCCTTTGTTTTGATCAGATTTTATCAGGATATTCGGTTGTATGAGTGGGAAACATGCCAGTTTTTTATTTTATTTTAACAGCCCTGATTACAACGTGGAGTTCTTTAGAAATTTCATGCTGGTGATGAACGCTCTGGATAACAGAGGTATCATCACATCACCTGATTACTAAGACATTTCTGTTGCTCCAAGTTACTTTCAGTTGATTTAAATAAAAATATCCCTCCCTAGCTGCTCGGAACCATGTGAACAGGATGTGTTTGGCTGCCGATATTCCTCTGATTGAGAGCGGCACTGCCGGGTACCTGGGACAAGTCACTGTCATCAAAAAGGTACAACGTGCTCTTCTTTCTAAAATCCAACAAATAGCATCGATGAAATTTATTCCAAAGCTGCCAGTTTTTATGCCCATCATTGTGAGGACGGTGGCTGTGCTACCTGACTTTTTTTGCTCGTCTTTCCACCGTTTCCTCCACCTACAGGGAATGACTGAATGCTATGAGTGTCAACCAAAACCCACCCAGAAGACCTTCCCAGGATGCACCATAAGAAACACACCATCCGAGCCCATTCACTGCATCGTCTGGGCCAAGTATCTCTTCAAGTAGGTCTCATCTTTTATTGTAACGTCAGTTTAAACAAACTGCAGTCTGAAAAGCCTCCCTGGACAGCATTACTTGATTTACGCCTGTCAAAAATCTGCGTTCACTTGTGGTTTTATTTGTAGCTAATTTATAAATGTTTATTCAGCCTCTATGTAAATGTTATTTGGTGGCACAGGTACGATATGTGTGAAACTTGCACTTTCCGGTCGTTGGTCTCATGGTGTTTGCTGCGTTTTTAGCCAGCTGTTTGGAGAAGAAGATGCAGATCAAGAAGTGTCACCGGACACGGCAGACCCAGAAGCTGCATGTGAGTGAAGACAGAACTTGTTTCATAATTTATACAGAAAAATACCTCCATTTACAGCATGTTTTTACCTCATGGTGTCGAGGTTTACAGGATGAGATTATCAGGGAAGCAGGTAAAGATACATGATCACCCCTGCACTGTTTTCTGTAAACAGGGAATCCTGAAGAGACGGCAGCTCGAGCCACCGCCTCTGAAAAGGACGGAGACATCAAACGAGTTTCCACCAAAGAATGGGCCAAATCAACCGGATATGACGCAGTCAAAGTCTTCAACAAGGTACCAGCCACCCGCATCAGCTGGGCAGCAACGTTTTTGTTCAAATGAATTCAGACAAGCTGTGGAGAACAAAGAACATGAGCTTAATGTTAAAAGTTCTGCAAATAAACGTTTATTTAAACTTGCTGAACACAGATCACATGTATTTATATTGTGAAACTGGCTACAATATATTTTTTAAAATTCTTAGTTTTGTACTAAAACTCTTGTTTTAACTTTGTGGTTTGCAGAAACTTTAGCTGTTTGACCGTCAGGACTTTGTTTACACAACAATTCGCCAAATACTTGAAAAGCCATATTTATTTTTACATTTCTGGTCGTTTTAGTCAGTGGAGCTTTCATGTGCATTAACATGCTCTGCTGTGATTGGCTCTCCTTTCAAGCTTTTCAAAGACGACATCATGTACCTGCTGACCATGGACAAGCTGTGGAAGAAGAGGAAAGCCCCGACGCCTCTGGACTGGCAGCAGCTGGAGAACAGTGGTATGTCTTTCTACAAACACCAACCTGTTGGAGCAGAGTTCTGTGTTTAATTAGAGTTTTCATCTGCACGTTCAGACCTTTGTGTTTTATGTTCAGGCTGAAATTATAGCTCCATTTTGGATCAAAAGCCTAAGTTTGGTCCGACTTGAGAAAGCTGGTTTTGTACTGAAAGAAACTAAACTGTAGTTTTCATTGTTTTTGTTTCTTGTGTCAAAACGAATTAAGGGTATCTTTAACATTTGTGGACTTGAAATGAATAAATCAGGATTTATCTGTCCCTTGAATAGAATCCCACGACCCCTAGCAGTCTCTCTCTGGAAACAGTTTCCGAGCCCAACAGATGGTTTCTGGTCTGAAAGTGCTGTTAGATTATAATCAGGACTTTTTTTGTCGTTTGACATTAATAAATGGTAAATGGACTGTACTTGTATAGCATCTTTGTGTCTAATCAAGATACTCAAAGTGCTTTACTACACAATCTCTGCCCTCATCTATCCACACAGCACTCTACTAGATCTTTACAAAGCTAATCTGAATCTGTAGAGACTAATCAGTGCCTTAGACCACATTATCCTGACGCATGCTCAAAAATCTAGGTAGATGAATCTAACAAGGTTAAGTCTGGTCCTCCGGACGGATTCTTCTTGTTGAAACGTTTCGTTTTTTTTTTATCCAAAAGACTCAGACAAAGATGAAACATTTGAAGAAGAAGAATCCGTCCAGAGGACCTGACTTTATTAGGTTTAGATCACATTCATGCATGGATGAGACACATCAGAGGCTATGAGGGGTTCAGTGTCTTGCCCAAGGACACTTCAACATGTGACTGCTGGTGGAATCGAACCACCAACTCTCAAAATGGAGGACGACTGCTCTAACCACTCAGCCACAGCCGCCCCACAAATGAATACATGGCACCAGAGAGTTCCTGTTCGTTCAGTTTTTGCCTTTTAACCCGATGGTGACGGGGTTAGACGTAATGCTCATGTCGAGGCTCGGGTCACACGTGATGGAGATGCTGGGGTTTCTTTTTAAAAAAGTATTGTGCAAACACAAACCTGAATTCAAGTGTTTGTTCAGACCATGATGCAAACTTTCAGGTGGGAAAAAAAACCTTCAACGTATAGGGAAACATTTTGATTTCTGATCAGACTGTTCACCGTAGAACTGTCAACTCAAGCTTGCCCTGAATCTGAACTGTTTGACCCAGGATGAACAACACAACCCCCACCTGCCAGAAACATGGTGGGCATGCATCTAAAACACGCCTCTGTTAATTCAGTCGCATCATTAACTTTTTGTTGTTCCTTCAGTGCGTCCTCTGGAAGAGACTCCAGCTTCGGGCTTGAAGGACCAGAAGGTTCTGGGTGTTTGGGGTTACTGCCAGATGTTCCGACAAAGCGTGGAAACTCTCTGCTCACAGCTGCAGGAGAAAGGCGAGGGTGCCGAGCTCGTCTGGGACAAGGTACGAAGATCGCACTGAACTTGTGAAGCGTTTAAAGTTACAGAATGGTTTAAAGGAACCGTCTGTGGGAGAAAGGTCAATCATCCAGGTACTGTAGATAAATACAAAAAAAGGTTGAATCATGCCATCTGGACAAGTTGACATGATTGAACCTATTTTGTGTCTGTGTGGGAGACTTTCTCAGGGTTCTCAGTTCCCTGTAAAATGGTGACCAGGTCATTGTGAGTGTCTCAGGCCCATCAAAAGCCCTTCTTGATTTTATCGTTGGCGTTGTTTCGTGTCGTCGTGCATATTTGAATGTAGCTCCTCTCTTTCTGTGCCCGTATCCATGTGTCCTGCATATAATCCAGCTCAGCTGAGTCGTCTCTGCTCAACAGGAGCTGAAAGTCTGGAGAGAAGCTGCTCGCATGGCCAGTGGTTTTTAGACTGGGTTTGGTAGCTGGTTTATAATTAGTCGTTTGTCTGTGATACAAAAGTAAAATGGTGTTTATGGTGAAAAGTGAAGCTGCAGAGAGCTGCTTCTCTATCTTTTTTTTAGGGCGACATTATTGTATTTCTATTTGGGTTCGTTTGGAGCCTAGATTTATTTTGATTTCAGGTTAATAGTTAAGCTAACCTTTACTTGTTTTTCAGGTTTTGAAAACATTTTGTTTTGAAAACTGTTTAAAAAGTCCAGTGGGTTTTTTATTTTTATTTTTTAAACTATTTGACTTTTCCTCTTCAATCCCAGACTTTTGTTGTCTCGCCCTTCTCAACTCCTGGATCATAACGGGAAGCATAACAATTTGGGGGGGGGTCGTCCGGGATTGAACCGAGCCGTGGCGGCAGCAAATTAATATGCACAGCCTATAAAACAGTTCTACGAGCTGCTTACATAATGATAAACCACGATTTTCAGGAAAAATGCCGCTGCGCACCTCAGTGGTTCGACTGAAACTTTGCATATATTCTCACAACTTTTAGTCTCCAACTTTTAGCGATCGCAACCCAAAAAAAAATACAGGAGCTGCAGGAGAAGCTTTTGTTTTTTGTTTAACTTGGTTATTAACTAAACAGCTGATCACATAAAAACAGTGTTTTCATTCCACCATTACAGTTTACCTCTGCCTCATCACTGATTCTTTACAGCTTAAACATTAAAAAACTGAATAAAAATGATAAAAAAACACCATGCATACAGTTTGGTCATAATTCTTTTAGCTTTCTGAAGCAAATTTATCTGCACCAAACTGCATGAAACATTACGGGGATGAATAAAAGAAGTTTTTCCAGCTGCAGTGACATGTTGAAATCATCCCGTCGATGCCAGCGGACTTTATTAAACTCTTCCTCTACCTCCCCTCTTGATGTCAGGACGACCCTCCAGCCATGGACTTCGTCACGGCAGCAGCAAACCTTCGTATGCACATCTTCAGCATGAACATGAAGAGCCGTTTCGATGTGAAGTGTAAGTTTTAATAACTTCCCTCCTTCAGTTTTATTAACATTATCCAGATCTTGCAGTAAAACAAATAATTTCATCCAGCGATGGCAGGAAACATCATTCCGGCTATCGCCACGACCAACGCCGTTATCGCAGGACTCATCGTGTTGGAGGGGCTGAAGATCCTGTCTGGAGAGCTGGAATCCTGTCGTACGGTGAGTCCTGCTCCTCCCAAGTGCTCAGAAGACGGCGACGATGTTTAATGTTTCACAATATCTTTGTTTTTGTTAGAAAGTTGAGCTGAATTTGGACTTCAGGTCTGCAGACTCACTTTTTCAGCTCTGACATGTGATCGTCTGACAGACTTGACTTGTTGTTACTGAGCAGTTACGGCTGCGGGCACAGATGCAGTTCAGCTGATCAGTACCAGTAGCTCTGGGTCAGTCTGTCATTGTAAAGGAAGGTGGAGAAGTGTTTGTATTTTTGCCAACATCAACTAAATTCTGCTCAGGAACCAGATCAGGTTCGAGCTTCTTCGCTGTGTTATTGTTTTTCTTTTTTCTCCCGTCTCTTCTTTGACAGACTGCTCGCTCACAAACTCCTCTCTAAAATATTAAGCATGTGAGAGATGAACTGTGATTCTTGTAGTGCTCACATGTAGAAATTGTGTTTTTCTTTATCAACTGAGGTCCAATTTTTTTTATATTTGATGTTTAAATCAAATCTGTAACTTCAGATGTTTGATTCAAGTAAATTACTTGAGGGTGTTTTTGTTGTGTGAAACGTGTCTTCTTTTCCTTCCTCAGATCTTCCTGAATAAGTGTCCTAACCTCAGGAAGAAGCTGCTGGTGCCGTGCATCTTGGACCCCCCTAGTTCGAACTGCTACGTTTGTGCCAGCAAACCTGAAGTCACGGTCAAACTAAACGTCCACAAAACAACGGTTCTCTGTCTGCAGGACCGGGTAAAGAGACGGATCTGCAGCAGGACACTCTCACGATGTTAAACTCCCCTGCTGCTTTTCTTTACACTTTGTCTTTTGCCTTTTAAGATCCTGAAGGAGAGGTTTGGGATGGTCGCTCCAGATGTTCAGATCGAGGACGGGAAAGGAACCATCCTCATCTCATCAGAAGAAGGAGAGACAGAGGGTAGGCAAAAGAAAAACACTTAAATTTGTTACTTCATTCAAAACTGTTTCTGCTTTTTAATACTTAAAAAAATCTATATATTGCCTTTTGATTTAAATCACACAATGCTTTGCTCATCCTCCTGTGAGGAAACCGAGCCTTGTGTTGAAAAAGAGGCAGGCAAAGCTACTCTGAGGACAAGATGATTCTCATCATGCAACTACGTTAAAAGAGGATTCCTCAGCTTCAGGGGGAGTGTGCAGGGCCCTTCAGTCCTCAAGCTGCAGTCAGAGCAGGAGACGTTCACGCCTCTGGGTCCGGTTAAAAGAACCACACTAAGCCGCCGCTGGCTGATGACACCCCACCTTACAGTCAGAATTGGTTTACAGATTTCTACAACTCATAAATTATGAATACCAATAAAGAAACAAACTACACTTAGAAAACTAACCAAAATTAATAAGTTAGAATTTCTCTCCCACAAAGGTATTTTTCTATATGAACATGGCCAATTATACAGATTAGGGGATGGTGTCATTTAACCACTTTTAGGACTTTCCTGTAACGACTTCTCTTTGAGGAGTTGGCAGTTTTTGAATTGATGATGTTTTTGTGCTGTTGGTGATTTTTGTGTGAAGTGAGGACTGTTGGACAGAAGAGGGCGCTCTGTCAGCTTTTATCAACAAGAATAAAAACACTGAATTAAAACATGAATAATAGTAATAAAGTGCTATGTGTTGTCATCACTGTATGTTCCCGTACAAAGATGAAATTGGCTCTCTGCATTTAACCCATCGCACCTGGGATACACCCAGGTGGAGCAGTGGGCAGCTATGTAAGCAGTTAATTAATACCTTTGATTATTTTTAGGACAAAAAGTTGTTCTGTTTGAAAACAGTTTTATTCACATGATGGACCCCTGGTTCTCTGAACCCCCCTAGCCCGCACATGAAGAGCGCTCTGGTTATTGAAATGATAAAACGTTTATGGTTAAGTTGGACTCAGTTAGTTTTTTCAGCAACTGCTCCTTTTAAAAATGTAAATATAATGTTTACTGTCTCAGAGTTTAATGACTGACTCTGCGATGATTGTTCTCACTTTTACACTCTTTTTTTATTTCCAGCCAACAACCCCAAATTTCTCTCTGACTTTGGGATCCGTAACGGCAGCCGTCTCCAGTCTGACGATTTCCTCCAGGACTACACGCTCCTCGTTAACGTCCTGCACACGTATGTTCTTCCGATCACACCAGCACGGTGCTCTGTAAAATCTGCCTTTCTCTTATTGTGACGATCCACCTCTGAATAATCTCTGTCCTCGCGGGCAGTGAGGAGCTCGAGCGGGACGTGGAGTTCGAGGTTGTGGGCGAGGCTCCGGACAAGGCTCCGCCCCCTCAGAGTAACCAAGAAGAAGTGAAAAGTATCACGAACGGTAACAAAGACTCCGCCCAGCCGTCCACGTCCTCTAAAGGTGGGTGTATATCCAGCAGTGTCCACATATAAAATATTTTATTTAAATTAAAAGTTATATTTTATAATATAGTAAAAGGAAATTTAACCACTTTGATCTCACTGCCTCTTTAGACAGATTATCCCCAACGCTGACTCAGCATTCAGAATTTTGTTCTACTTATTTATTTTTGCTTTTTGCAGTCAAACTATTTCTGCAGTTGTTCCATTTTAGCCGTTTCTTACATCAAAACATTCAGCTCATTCAGGAGATGGGTGCTTTGACTTTTTGTTTTTTGTAACTTTGATACTTTTCAGAATATTTGACTTTACTTACAAACATTTTTTTTCATAGAAATACACTGGGATCTCTTCAATTCCTTCAAAAACATTTCTTTTAGAAATCTGCTTTAGCAAACAGGCCCTGTTTGAATGCTGTTTTTAGCTACGGTCTTGCCGCTGTTAGCATTTAGCAATGATTTTGCTAATGTTAGCTTTTAACTACAGCTTTGCTATATATAAATCTTTTAGCCACACTTTATGCTTATTTTTGTTTTTGACCACTGTCTTGATACATTTAGCATTTAGTAATGGTTTTGCAAATGTTATCTTTTAGCTACATC